ATGTTGAACGCGTCACTGACGGACAACGTTTTCGATTAAAAGCACATCCAAATGGTTCTCCTCAACCACCACAAAAATTTAAACAGCAGTCTGTTTTAGTTAGGCTTTCTAATTAAATGTTGCTTGAACAGAACGAATAAAATATGGCGAAGTTATATCTAAAATATTGCAAAGGCCACAGCTATGCGTTCTAGGGTTAAAATTAAAGTAGGAAATTTTAAATGAATTGGATTTCTGAAGTTTAAACAGCCAAATTTTTCATTATAAAGGAACATAAAGCAGTCAAATCTAGTAAGAGTGAACAAAAATTGAAGGCATTTTGTAGAGCAGACAATTCTCAACAAAATAAGATATTTTATGTTACAAAGTAGCCCTTGGAGAGTGTTCAACTGCCTCAGCTGCAACACGCATTCAATCAGCATCCAACTAAACAAATCTGAAATACTACGATTTAAAATGATAAAAGCTCTTCTGAATGCATTGAATAAAAATTTAAAAATTAGGAATAGTTACGTTTCTGTAGCTTATTCATGAAAGATAAGATATACAATCTCAACGTAACGATATCATATATATGAATTAATTGACTTACTTCGATAGCTCTGTCCTGTAGTAATGCTATTTTTTAACATCACCAAGACTAGTTTATTATTTTGATAACAAAATATTTAAATGAATCTTTTATAGCTGATCTTCTGTATGTATGTACATGACTTCATTTTCTCCTCTTAAAAATAATTATTACATAATCAAAACGTTGAGGAGATAAGCGAAATTAAAGCATAATGAAAATGAAGTTTTCTAGATTTAAAGTTATTTCTAACGTTTTACAAGCTTCACTTGTAATCAACTCAACGATCTTGCTTGAAAATAGCCCATTGTGTGGCATCTGCTTCCAATTCATCTAGCGGTAGTAAATGGTTGCCATGTTCAATATCCATCCATCCAAAATTTTCATCCTCGTCTTCGATATAGTAACCACCGTTCTTAAATACTAATGGAATTTGACGAGAATAGTTTCCTGACCATTGATGGAACCTATAATTTTGTTCAGCAACACGAATAAATCCTGGTACAATTTCACATATAATGGCGATATGTCCAAAAGGTTGTTCTGTAGTACGAGGATATATGAGGAATGAATCTTTTTGTGGTGGTTGAGGAGAACCATTTGGATGTGCTTTTAATCGAAAACGTTGTCCGTCAGTGACGCGTTCAACATGAGTCAGTCCAGTCCATATGTCACCCGCAGATCTAATATCTTTGAATGTGCAACCTTTACGTATCAAAAGCCATCTACGAGCAAATTCCACACATTGCCATTTATATCCAGTAAATATACCATAAAGGTAGTGTCGTTCGCCGGAAAAGAATTCATCATCTCCATTTGAATACGCCGGAACATTTGTTGAAGCAATTCCTTGAATTTGATTGTAAGGCACACGTTTGCTATGACCGCGCATCATTGTTTGCCCTGAATAATAAAAGTACAAATGAATTTAATAACAATACTACACTACTATGCAGAAATCACTTGTAAGAAAGTTATATTTGTACAGATGATAGGATGGATTGTTTACGCTAAATACCGGATGCTAATTTTGTTTTTAACTTTCTCGACTCAAACAAAAATAAGTAAGCGATAGTTTGGCTTCAAAACATAGTTGCAGTACCCACTTGCATCCAGATTTAAACGTACAATTATCCTACTGCATGCTTGTTAAACTCGTATTCTAGCTGAGACGTCGCTGTATGAGCCGATTAATCGTCACTTGATTCTTATCGTGCGAGCGAAGTGTATGAGATTTATACAAAATAGCTGTGCTATCATTTCTTATCGGGAGATGACAGAACTCTAATATTTTGGCTAACTTGTTGTATAAAATAGAAATCAATCACAGTAGTGTGCATACGTCTATGTATCCTTTGTATATACCCAAACTTTCTAGATATTTATCTTTTGGTCATACTATGATTTGATAGGTATCGTACACATATTTGATTCCAGGTAGTTAGCCGCTCATCCTTTCTAGCCATTCATCCTCTGTAGATATCTGGACACTTACTTTCATTTGAGTGCTGTTACCCAAGCAAAAACGACCCAATTTTTTGGGTTATTTATCTAGATTCAGTTCCACGTGCATCTAGATGTACGTGGAGTTGAAAAAATTGGGTCGTTTTTGCTTGGGATTAATAGTCACAATTGCGAACAAAAGAACTCATTGTTAAAACAGTTTCAAAACGCTATTAGTTCATGTAGGCACTTTTTCACAGTATACATTTTCCACTTAGCTAAAATGTAAGAATTCTGACATCTATGTTTTTTGTTAGATCTCTGTCAAACAACATTGCACAAAACTTTGTGACCTCTATAATTATTGGATACATGTGTCGTTAATTTCTACAGTAAATATTAGAGTACCCATAGTCTGATAAATCTGCACGAGTGACACGAAACGATATGTGATTATTTTAGCTTTTTCAATAAAATGGCAAATGATAACATTCTGATCATGACAGTACTCAGCATGCATAGTACAGAAAGGCCAAACTACGTGATACAATTACCAAATGTGAAAGAAGAGCTTTTTTTACTATTTTTTCTTTGACAAATCAGAGAAGAAAGAGAAGAATTTGCCTTTTCCTAAAATTTTAAACCCGATCAGTTGAAGTTTTCGTAGCTTCGTACCGAATTTAGATTGGAACTTCCACAGTTTTCAGCATTATAGAATATTAAGTCGGTCACTCTTTTCAAGGGATTTTCAGCGACACTCGCATCTTTTCGACACCATAAGAAAATTTCATAAAATATTTCACTGTGATTATGTTTTTCTTTTTAATTTATCAGAAACTCAGAAGGTTTCGTGAATGAGAAACTACAAAATTTTAGTGGAAAAATATAAGATTTTAGGTAAAAATACATCTAGTTTTTAGAAAAGTTACTTGAGAACGTAATAATAACTTGACATCTCCAGCCTTAAAGCAAAAGTTTTTACCTGGAAAACGAAAAGAAGAAAAGTTTTAGGCATAAATCGGGTACGGGTAGGAAAGCGGCAGTCGTGCACATCTCTACTTCGTAGGAAACTTGAATACTTCTTACAGTTATTCAAAGGACGCTTTTCCATACGTGAATAAATTCTGACCATATTTTTTTTAAACTCTCTAATCCAAGAAATGACCGTATATATCAAACAGATCCTTGTTAAGAGACTAAAAGGGTTTCTGAAAAGCCAACAGGATTTTTAGTCTAAATGCAATACCTTATGACAACTTCGATATTTTTTGAGCTTCTAAAGTGTGTACTTAAGATTTGGACGAATCATTTCATAAATCGTATCACCGATAAACTATTAAACTCGAAAGAGAATGAAAATAAATCCTGTTCCATTTCGCAGCTAATGATGAATCTCAGAAGAGAGAGAGATAACATTTTTTAAAATGACTGTTCAAAAGAAGGCAATAAACTGAAGAAACAAAGATTCATAAATAAAAGGATAGTTGATCTATCGAGGATGTTATTAACGTCCTTAGAAAAAAACCTGTATACTTACCATAAATATTTTTGCACTAGTACAAAAAATATTAATAATAGCATAGTTTGCATGATTGTGTCATAAACCATGACAGAAAGAAAAAAGTGACAGAACAAAATAAAAATAAAAACCGATTATGTCTAACGCAATATCGAGGTTACATTGTGTTGTTTGTACAACTTTGGTCAATGCGCAAAAAATATAGAAAACAACAACATAATTTGATTTTGCAAGTCATATGCAACAAGCAAATTTTTATATCTGATTGTAGGTGAGAGAAGAAAAAAAATCGATTCTCCATTTTGACAGCTTTTAAACAAACTGATACAGGAGAAGTTTATATAGTCTAGATTTTATTGAGATCAAAAAAAATGTTTATCGACTATATCATTTCTTCTATTTATCTGAATTATAAATCTATGAAGCTATTATTTATTATCCATTGCTTTTGCAAAGAAAAAAAAGTAAAAAACAAGAAATAAATAAGCAAATTCGCAATGTACAACACAAAACTTCTGAAAACTGATTATAACTTGAATTCTGTAGTAGACATCTCAGTAGAAATTGGATTATGACAAAATCACCAGGGGGCCTAATTAGAACTGATTTACTAGTTTGACAGATAGCTTTCTCGTGCAGAGAGCCCCCCACTCTATGTAAAACGAGTAGAGGCCACTAGTAGCTATGATTTATCTCATATACATACCTTATGGCCAAAAATAATTATTTAATAAATAAATGGTTGTATCATTTTGATCTTAAACATTGGTGGAATCATTTTCTTGCACAAATGTTCTCAAGCGTTTGGTGGTGGTTAATTTAAAAATGAACGTCAGTTGGGATGTGAATATATTTCGAAAGAGGAAAACATTCATGTGTCAGAAGAAGAAGAAAAGTTATGATGATGATGAATCATGTCCCCAAAGAATCTATTTGCATTTCACGTCTGCGTGCTTGTATTTTACATGAGTTTTTATTTTTTGTCTTTTCATACGCTCAGTACATACTGTACAGAACAGAATGAATAAAGAGAAAATCATTATCATAGCATAAATGAAAAAGAGAACGTAAGATACAAGATGCAAGAGATTTTATTTTTTGCCGTCAAAAGTACTGCGAAAGGTCGTGTCGAACTACATAAAATATTCTATTTCAGCGCAGATGAACGTGATTCATTGATGTGACAAATCAACAAAACGTCATCAATGTACGATTTTTATAAAAGATGCGTAAAAGTTTTTAGACTAAAATTGTTTTAACAGCAGTTAAGAAACTAATTATTGCTTTTATGAAAAAAGTAAAACTAAGATTATATCTGCGACATTTCGATTCTTTAAAAGCATCAAGCTATGCAAAAATCTAATTACAAACTGAAAACATTGAGTAAGATAATGATGACTAACAGAGTGAAGGAATTGGACAATATATTGCCGAGTAAAATAAACAAATTTATCCTTTAGAAGTTGAAAGAAAGAAGAAACTGAAGGTGTCAAAAGTTGACAATTTTCCTTTTATTTGTTCTTCTACTTTTTCTTTACTTTTTTGAAATTTTTATCTATTTTTTCCTGATAATCTGTCAACTTTACCGTAGTTTTTTTTGTTGCCTATTTACACCTTCAGGAAATACAGCCAAAGGTACAAACAATTCGTCTAGAAGAGTTCTACTTCAAACGGGAAATATTTCTCATTCAAGAAAGATGTATTTTGCGATTGGGAAATATGTCCTGATCGGAAAAGCGGAATCTATCCCATTTTGGGACATATTTCGAGATGTCTACTTTAAAACCCTTTAGCAAATTTTATAAACCTTCCGCGCATGTTCTGGTTAGTTCCATTGGAAAGGCCAAAAAAACTGCATTGATTGACACGATGTCATGTGAATTTGACGCGCTTCTAGCAGGTCTGATGTTATAGAAACGTTGGCTAGAAGCAGGATCAAAATCTCTCCCGATCAGAAAGGACATCTTTGTCATATATTGGAGTAAAGGAAAAGAAAAAGAAAAGAAAAGCGAAGAGTGCAGATTTATAAACACGTGTCATCAAGTTCTAAAACTTGATGACACGTGTTTATAAATCTGCACTAACTGTAAACATTGGGTAGTTTCTTTTCTAAACGTTTTAGATGAAATAATATGTATAATCTAAATTTTTTCAGATATTTCTCTGTTATCTTCTCTTCTTTATCTACCCACGATATAGCAAATAAGCATTGTCACAAAAGCACACATTTCACAATCGAACTGCACAATACACTCACATGAAAGAAGAAGGAAATATACATTTCTGACACGCTCTAGACACTATCGTTTTTAGAACGACTCAGTAAAGTTAAAGATTTGATCACACTACAAAGAATGTTCATAATAAACATTTTCAATCAAAGACTTCATAAAGTCTACTGTGGAGTGATGAGAGTCATCAATAACTCTACAGTTCAATGTATGAGTTTTTCTCTAACTCTAGCCATTGGGTAGGCCAATATAACGACTTTTGACATGTGGAAAAAAAAATCATTCAATTTCTTTTCTTTTCATCAGGTTTTGGTTGAGATGTTGGCATTCAGAAAGACAAAACGAGCGTTAAGAAGAGTACAATGCATAGCATCACACCATTTTTGATCAGGAAATGCACCTTCTCCGAACGGGAAATAGTTGATCCTATCCTGATTGGGAAATAAAAATAAGAGCTGTTCCAACAAGAAGTTTGTTTCAGCATCGCCCGTAGCCAACGATCAAAGAGGAGCTTCAGCTTTTCATATAGAACAAATATAAAACAGCTAAGCAGCAGAATAAAAACTGCCCGCACTCTGGACAACTTATAGTTCATGAGATAACATCTTTCTCCATTGAAAAGTTTCCCGATCAGGATATATTTCTCCATCGGGGAAGTGGAAACGGGCTGATAGAACAGACAGTTTTGTTTAATTCAGGCTTTTTAGACATAATGAGCAAAGATCAAGGAAAGAAAAGTGGACTCCATGGCACCTATGAACTTCTATGAAGTCCAAGAGCTCCTGCAAAGCTCAACGTCAACCAGTTTCTACATACAACATCTCAATTAACATCTAATTCATAGACATAAAGTCCAACGACACAACTCATATTTTTCATGTCGACGTGAACACATACTTTGTTAAAATACAATACTTGTGGTCTTGAATTATAAATAGATATACATAAAACGATCTCGAGTTTAAAAGGAACGATAAAAAGATAGAAGTATCACTATTAAATAACAATGTCCGACTAGGGGTAAATAAATCTAAAATATAAATAATGAGAAGACAATTACTTGGTTAAAAGTTTCATAATAATACAATAAAACAGAAACGATAAAACTAATGATAAACTAATGATAAATAAATAATAATTTTAGTTTTTTTCCTTTGATGATCGCATTGGTGTACTTGATGCTGGTGCAGAAGGTTTAGAATTGTTTTTTGTTGGTGCTGTTGTTGACGTACTACTTGTGGATGGAGGTGGTACAACTATAGGGTTTGTTATTATTTGAAGTAATGGTTGTGATTGTTTGTACTGGCGATGTCGGTGATGACGATGAGTTTTTTGTTTGTTATTTTTCTTTACAAATTCTTCCATTCATGAACAGTTCAACTTTTTTATATGTTTATAAAAGTTTGACAGTAGAAATTTATTATCTTTTTTCATTAACGAGAAATTTGAGTCACACTTACGTGTAATTACTTCTTCTAAAATATTATGATTATCATGTAATTTCAATGTAAAATCTTTCCCGGCTCATATTCAAAAATCATCTAAATCAGAGTTTTCTTTATTATATAAACACTATTATTTAATTAATTTTAATATGAAGCTAGTCATTTATTTTTTAAATTTTTTATTACATGTTGTTGTTGTTGTGTGTTATTATAAAAGGCTGATACTGATAGAATCATCAACAATAGACAAAATAGCTATTATATCTCATTCTTAGATCTTATTCAGGTAAGTTAAACTTTTAGTCTTTCGAATAATCCTTTTTCATTCAACTTGAGGAAAAAAACTCTGCTTATGCTAATATATTTCCATAGGTTGCAGAATACAAATACATTTTGTATTCATTTTTTTGTTGATGGTCGAAATAGAACAGATAATAGTTGAGAACGAATACAACCAAAATCATCGATGTATTCGCGTCTTTCTCTTATGAAAATGAGTGAGGATTACGGGAACAAGAGTTGATCATGTCTTTCTAGTTGATGTATTCATCTTGTTTTCTTACGAAAATGAGTGAGGATTACGGGAACAAGAGTTGATCATGTCTTTCTAGTTGATTTATTCATCTTGTTTTCTTATGAAAATGAGTCGGGAACAAGTGAACAGTTAATAGATGAACAGATAATACATAAAAACGAATACAAAAGAAAGTTCCAAATGTTTTTCGATTCTTCTCAACGTTCCTTCATTTTCTATATTTCAAGATTAGTTTTTCAAATTTAGCATGGACAAGAGCAGAAGGGAAAAAGTCGTTTGTATTCTTTTTCTAGTCCAGAACGGTTAATACGAAGTGGTGTTTATGTGAGAGTGTCACTAGACCACGTTTCGCTGACCGAGAGATTGTGGATGATGTAGATACGTAATATTTGTGATCAACGTCAAAAGCCGTATCTAGTTTATGGAGTTTCACGATGATATGAGAAAATATTTTTAAGGAGGTAGCATAAGCTTCAAAATTTCATATCAATTTTTTAAGAAACTGAGTGATAAAATAACATTCAAATATCATTCTATGAAATAAAGTTTCAACCCATTAGGATAATATTTCCTAACATCGGCCCTCGTTCTTTGCAGTATCTTAAAACATTTGTAAATGAGTTGTATATCTCGAGTATTGAACGTAGACAACATTGTCTAGCTATTCGGTTACATCGAACAGTTTCTCTTACATAAGCAGAACTGTATTTTGTTAATCTCATTTCAAACAGGGATAATAAAAGACAGTTAATAGAAATTGAAAAACTTGGTTTGTGCAATGTAAAAGTTTTTACACAGACTTGTTATAAGAATTCCTCTGTTGTTGAAACATCTAAGCCAAGAAAGAATACTGAAATAGATAACAATATGGAATGTACACCATCAGATCTAGGTATGCGTATGTTGAATGCGAGATTTTTTGACTGCTGCATAGTGGCCGCCATAAACACCCGAAGAATCTGTGTTATAGTGATCGGACATATTTGGTAATGAATCAGGCGCATTATAGTACGATGATCCTAGAAGGAAGAAAACTCAAAATTTGCTGAATCCGACATACACAATTTATAAGGAGTAGAGTAAGAATTCGTGAGTATAAAACTGCTATAACAGAAACCGTCTATTTTTCTGAATACCTGTCTTGATAGATACTGGTGGTGGTGGTGTTGATGGTGGTATTGGTGGAGGTGGTTTCCTTGTTTGCCGCAGGATACAACTTTCTAGTTCACGATTAATGTTCTTAATCTTTTGATCGATAACAGGAGCTTTTTCTCTTGGAGATTGAGGCAATGGTCCAGCTTGTATATTTGATCCTATGCAAATAAACATTTTTTTATTTATCATAGAATTCAACAAAAGACTTTTGTAAGAGTATATTACGCTCAGATGCAAATTGTCAATGAAAAATGGTAAGAATTAATAAAATGTTTATAATTTTCTTATAATTGACTCTTAGAGAGCTGAATCATAGCTACGGAACAATATTCTGTATATCCTAATTACCTTGGATACCATTTGCTCTCGGATATATGATCGGTTTTGATTGAGTAGCATGTTTTATAGATGACGATTCTTTACGAGTGAGTTTCGATGACTCTTTCATGCTTGTCGCTGTTCGATTTATTGATGTTAACTGGTTTGTGGTATTTGTATGTTTTATTGTGGAAACCGCTTCTTCTGACGTAAGTGTAGTTTGTTGAAATCTTTTTCGATTAGCTGCATTCTCTATGTTGACTTGAAAAATTAGATAAATTGCACGTGCATCAAGATTGGATGAAAATAAAAATTTTAATTTGCCGTGAACATATGCTTCTTGACTAATTTCCAATATTAATTCATTTTCATTTACATCACAACTTTTTATGTGACTAAAAAAGGATTGACATAATTTGTTATGTCTTCTTCAGTGCTGACGACACTACCTCATTTTGAACGTCCATTGTTTATCATTATTTTGTTCTATCACAACCTTATCGCTATCAACTGATAAAACGCATTCTTCAGACAATTTAAGTACTCGTTTTGTTACTTCATCGCGAACATTTGTAGAGAATGAAACTGCTAAAAGAAAAGGAAGCACGGAGACGAAACTTATTTCTTGCATGAATCAATGTGAAATATAGATAAGATCTTACCTGTTTTCGAACCATCAGATGTATCAAGTGGTGTATTACTGGTAACAATTGAATTCAGTTTTGTCTGCAATAGAGCTTAAAATCAGTGATGTGAATATAAATTATCTTTCATGTGACTGACATTTACCTCAAGAAGTGATTTCCAATAATTATAGTTTTGTTGATCTTCAAATCCAAGTCGATGCTTTTTATTCCCAGATTTTATTTCTAGATCAACTACTTATTCACCTTTTTATTTTGCAATTAGTGCAGGTATAAGAGTGTCACGTCAAGACACTCATATCACACTTAAACCAGCGTTGACAGTTTCAGCTTTAAATCACAATTCCG